ACCCTGTTCCCACTGGGAGGCAGCATGAGCATTTGTACTGCAGAACCTGGAACTGTAGCTTTGTGAGCTTTACTTGTTTGGACCAAACTCATATGCAGTCATCTGACAGAGGCAATGGTGTGAAGCCCTTGATGTTGAATATAGGTACTGCTGTAAAATCAGACAGCTCAATATTAGAGAAAGAGAGAAACAGAGTGGGAGTGGGAGGCTTTAGTTCAAAGAAAGTAAAAGCTGATGTCACACTGGGAAATTCGGATGAAGAACAGACTCTGAGATTTGGCTGAACAGCCAGACCTGACACTGTCACTTTTTTTTTTGTTTTTTTTTTTTGCATTTTGTTGTGAAAACCTGTATACATTCTTTATGTAATCCTAATTCACACAGATGGTATAAAGCGGATAAGACAATAGGATAACTACTCCAAATATTTTACTGTAATGTTAACTTACTGTAAGGTGGTGTTAAAAGATTTGGTAGGTTTACCACGGCACCTGCTGGCACAGCGAATAATAGAGAATGAGAACAAATCAAGTCTGTTTGCAGCCCACCTTCTTCAAAGTACATCATCATCTATTTATTACATTCCTGAAAATAAGCTAATCGAATGGGTTTCATAACGTGTTACATACAGTACACAGTGTCTTACCATAGGGCAAGGAAAAGGCAGTTTGGTGTGTGTAGAGCTAATGAGATTTTTTATTTTGTTTGTTTTGCCCTGTTGAGCTGATATTTCAAATATGGACACCATGTAAGGCTGTGAGCGTTGCTGTGAGCCAAAGGGAAAAGTGAAATCCAAAAGGCTGAGAATAACTCTTGTGTTTTTGGGCAGTTGTGTGTGCTGTGAGTAAGAAAGAAGGCAAAACACTTCAGACACAATCGATAGCTGGGAATGTGAACGTGTCTACCTGTATGTGTGTACAGAAGCAGCTACTGAGGGGAGAGGAATGCCAAAAGATAACTCATAATTTCATTGAAATTACATGTATCACTTTCTCTTGAAGAGACATATTAATACTGATTTAAAAAAAATCCATCTGAAGGCTGGGATTGTTAAATTAGAGTTTGAGGTTGTTAAATCTCCATGATGCTGGTGTGAACAAAGTCGACCTACAAGGACAGATCCATTGTAGTTTGGTGGTGTTTGGAGGCAGAGAGGGTTGCACTTGAAAGTTGTGACATACGTTGATATTCACAATCTTGGTTAAATATTGCTGCCCTGACTTGACTGCATATTGACTCTTCTCTTGGCATTTCTCTTTGCAGAGATGAAACGGCTGCCACCACTGCACTAGAACCACAAAGTCCTTTGCTTCTACTGTATACACATATTTGAAGCCCTTTGTATATAATAGTGCTATATGTGAAGCAGGATCATGGCCAAGTGCACCTTGTTAAAGCCATCCAGAGGGGAATGATCATTTCATTGTCTACACACAGAAACAAGACAAAGCACTCAGTGAGATGGGAAACATGTGGCAGCTTTTCTTGTGTGGGAACACTAGACAGCAGCTGTCACATCTGACATCATCATTGGAGCACACTGACCCTTCTTAGGTGGCAGTGTGCCCCTGATGTGCTTTGGGAAATAACTTTGGCAAATGGTATGGACATTTTGAAGAAGAGCAGACACTTCATTTTCCTAAGAAACCTACATAAATTGAGTCTGAATGTGGTTTGAGTGAGCTAAGTGGTTTTTAAGATCTACCAGAGGCAAGTATAAACATTATATTTGGTCTTTTTTTCTTACATTTTTGTCACACACCGTTAAAGAAACAGGACACAAGCATGTTGAAAATCTTACAATGTATATAATTGACACAAGATTTCAGGTACAACAGCAAATGAGACATTTCTATTTTTTGACCTCTTGCTGCATCTATCTTCACCAGAAGCACAAATTCTCCATAGATTTCAACAAAACCTAAGTAAAAAACAAGAAAATTAAAAGTACTCCTTTCCTCATAAACTGGCACCTTTCAGAAACACCACCCATACTCAACTCGATGTAAAATAAAGCTGTGTTTAAATGGCTGGATAATCAGCTTTGCATTTTTGCACCTACAATAAAGAATGAGGTGCACACAGTGAGTTGAGACCAGTGCTCCGGACAAACCTTTCTCCTGCTTCCTCTCACACTCAGGGGCTTTGTGTTTACACTGTTCCACCATAGCCGAACAAGAGACGTCTTGCTGGGTCCTATCTGCATACACACATTTCCAATCAATAATTGCTTCTGGAAGGTGTTGACTCACATATTGATCGACCATGTTGTGATGTCTTTGTGCAGACAGTGCCATTTATTGGCCTCATAAAAGTGCAGATTTTATAAAAGGGAAGGGGGGGAGACTTGGAGCAACATATTAATGAGATCAAAAGGTGATGGAGGAGACAGGGAGGGGGGACTGTGCAAATTTCAGCTGATGACATTGTGAGGCAGTCACTGAAACTGAGGTTGTGAGTGTAAAGCTGCAAGTCGTCTATGAATTGGAATGTCACCATCACAGTTGGGGTAATAACTCATTCTTTACAAGGCATACTGTGTACTTTCACATTCATACTCAAAAAGAGGACCCATGTGATGTGCTCACTAATTATTCTTTGTTATAAAAAATGTGTATGTTTCTCTGCTTGAACATCTACTATCATTATATCCATCTTTTTTATCTCAGAATTGACCCCAATCCTAAACAAAGTGTCAACGGCAGGCACAGGCAGCTGTCTTAACTAGGGACTAACAGAGAGACACACACATAACAAACCGTTCATTAATAAAACGTCAAAAAAGAACTGTCAGGTAACACATGAAAACAATCTCAGCCATTTGGAGAGCAGGAATTAACTAAATTTCTTACAGATGTGCATCTTAATCTTTGACAGAGTCTCAACCTCTTTAATTGGATCTGCAGTATTATCAACGGTTTTTAATTTAAATGATTTATAATGGATTTCCCCAGTGCGCAACTGAAGCAATGATGCACTTTCTAAAGCTTGTCTGTTTGCATCCTCCACATTCCATCTTTCTGTCACATATGATATTGTCAAGTCTAGATAACAGATACCATCAATACAGACTGAGTTAGTAAAGTATTAGGTTGAAAATACCAATAAAAAATGAATTACAGAATATTAACCTTGCATTGCCATCAGCTGAATAGCATGTTGTCAAACAATGTTTGTTCTATACATTTTCCTGTACCATTGAAACAAGATTTATGATGGCTCTATCATCAGCCTCTCTTTTGCTCTATCAGTCAAAGACAAGCACAGACATTCACACACAAAACATATGTACAAACATGCAAGCGGTGTCCCATCATCCTGCATGGAGTTTTCAGACGAGATCTTTGACATTTCTTTGAATTATAACGTGGTGCATGTTTCCTCTCCAGCAGGCTTCTCATCAGGAAAAGCCTTACACTGTGTTCCCACAACATTCCCGCTATGGTTGACACATAATGAAGCACTGTGTCACTGTCATATTGCCTTGCCATCATGTAGAAGCACGAGGAAAGCTTTAAAGGTCATTATAACTGATGAGCAGGGAGAAGGGTAGAGGGAGTTGGTAAGAAAGAGGCACCGAAAAGTTGCTGAAAAATGGGAGGCAGGTATGGATACACCAGGACAGATGACGGCAGAAATAAGAATATGATACGATGATCAGACTGTTATAAGATTTTGGTAGCTAATCGGCTATTTTCTCTAGAAAACAAAAAAGAAGCAATAAAAATGATGTACACTGTGGAAATAGTGTGATTCAAAGAGGTGCACGCTGTGGCTTTTACTGTGATACGGATCATTGCTGCAATTAGACAAAAACCTATGACACAGGGTTGCAAATTATGAAGCTAATCACAGGAACACCGGGTCTTTGCAGGGGGCACAGAAAAATATGCATATTATATTTTTGCTCTGCTATGCACATGAGGAGTACTGGCAAAAAAAGGGCTACATGACAGCAATGTTTCTGTTTCTATATACTTCTGTTCTGCTACATGTTATCAAAATCATTAACTGTCACTCTGTTGCTTTGCGGCTGCTCTTAAACTGACCCCCAATCTCCCCGTTCCCCATTTGGTACTCTATACTGGGAAGCTCCTGTCATCTGAGACCTGGCATGGCCGAACATGTGTTGTGCTAACACCAGACTCTTGAGTTGATCCTACACTGATGGTAGGGCCTGAAGAGAGAGGGAGGTTAGGGTGTAGGAATGAGTGGAGGGTTGACAGGGCAGATATTAGACGATCATGTCAGTGTGAATGCGATCACTGCTCTTATTACACCTTACATGATGAAATGACAAAAAGTGCTGATGCAGAGTGCTCTTGTCCTTCCTGCGAGAACATACGTGTGTGTAAGCGTAATGATATTGTGAAGTTTAACATAATAAGCGATGTGGTGGGCCGTGCTGTCTGGATGACACTCTTAAAAGTCATCGATATTTTAGTTCATTTACGTTTGTGGTTTGCCTTTTGTTTCTATAAATATTTGGAAGTGATTAAACCACTCGGAGGTTGATTGCAAGTTATTAATAAATAAATAATTCTTTTGAACACAAGTGCTGTTTTGAAGGAGCAGAATAACAAATATATGTATCTGAGTGCCACTGCAAAGCCTCATTCTACCTCTCTGTCTCTGTAGTGTCAACACCAACACACTGTTAGAAATATAGCCTTACATGTCTTAGGTACAGATGTAATCTCAGAGAACCCAAACACCAGAAACAAAACATTACGAGATGCAAAAAGACCTAACGGTGTCATAAGATAGCAAGAAATGAAAGACATGAGCAGAACCGAAACACTTATGAATACTTATAAATCTGTTTTGATCTTATCCAAAACCATAAAGATGTCCATCAAAGTGTTTTTCTTTAGCTGTTTCCTTATACTTATTTTGTTTTGGCAAAGTAACTAACCCCCGACTTCTCCTCCCTTCCCCTTTCAGACTCTCCCCAACCCTGTGTTCCAAACTCAGTCCCAGTTGGTAGACTCCCCTGTCAATTACCGCCGGAGCAGCAGGATGAGCAGTGAAAGCAGGTAAATGTTGATACTGGGGAGATTCTGGTTGGCTGAGGTTTTCACTCCCTCCTTTTCTGGAGGTGGAGGGTTGTGTCGGGGTCGGTCAGTGTTGGGCACAGAAATGCGTGGGCCCGGGGAGCACACACCTTCGGCACACATTAGACAGAGGGTGAGGAAGTGAAATTAATGGTACAGAACACATAAAAAAACATACATATGCTGTTGCCTATATAGTCATAGAATTAATATATTAACTGTACTGTGCACTAACAGTGTTTAGTTAACTTCCAAAATATAAGGTTCACTGGGAAGCCTCAAAAAACTTACATTATGTGATTAAAAACATGTGACCTCAATTATTCAAAAATAACTTAGATTTAGGCCAAGCTCTTTTATACCTTTATATCAATTCCAAACATACTGTGTTTGCTGGTTTGCAAGAGTTTCTTCAAAGATGAAATGTGCTGCCTCCTCAGATGTGCAGAAATACAGTAGAGTTGTTTATTTCCCCTAATCTAGACCATGTTAAAAGTTTTTAATTGTAAGTTATTCAACTGAGATAAAGGTTTTTGTGAACGTTGTTTAGAAACTGGTGGGCTGTGATGGGCAAAGTACTCACTGGTGTCCTGGAAGTCCACATCCCGGCCGTTCAGAGCATTCTTCAGGCGGTGTGTCATGATCTTCAGTTGCATTATCTGCTGGCGTATTGATATGTCTGGCTTGGTGATGTCGATTTCCACTTCAGGGTTGTTAATCTGACTGGCTAGACCATCACCCATCACCTCAGGAAGGTACCTGGTTCACATGAACAGTGGCTTAACATGTGAAACCAAGACAATTCCTTGTTGCCCAGTTTGTAAAAAAATAAGATTGAGAAGTGTGATTGCCTTAGTATAAACCTATAGTTCTCTAAATTAGGCATTAAACATTTTGTAAGATACCGTGTCCCTTTTTTTACTTCGTTATGTTACTTTGAAATACATGGCATGGCCCACCTGGCACGACTCATGCCGTTCCAACACTTGTCTTCGGCTCCTGTTCCAGTGGCCACCCTGTCACTGCAGAGCAAACCTGGGAGAGAAACCCAGTGTGACTGCATGTCCGTCAGTCTCACTGTTACAGCAGACACCTGAGACAGAATTGACAAGAGCAGGTTCATGAGCTTTTATACTTTGGGCCAAATCACAGCATGATGGTACACTCAAAGGGGAGAGTAAGAAAACCTCCTGCTTCCTAAATAATCAATCATCTGCGACCTTCATCCATCAAAGCATTCATTCTCATCTTATCGCCCCATAGTTGCTCATGTACAGGTGGAAAAAAAAAAGCTAGAGAAGTTTAATGATGCACAGTGACTCCTACTGTACTACTGCATCACAATGAATGTGCCAGATTAGGCCATCAGAAAGCAGCAGAACAAGAATACACATTCAGTCTGTTAAGTACTAACCAGTTTGCCCATTTTGTCAGAGCTGGATTCCAAGTTGTCCTCCACCATAACCTTCCCTTTTCTCATCATTTCGCTGCCTCCTGTGCTGCTGGTTCCTCCCTCTTGGAGGTTACCACATGCCTGGAACAACTGGGGTGGAAGAAATGGAATGAAAAGACAAGACAGACAAATGGAAAGAGAAGATGCATAAGATGTGGACAAGTTACCAAAAGAATGAAAGGATGAAATGAGGCAAATGGCTCAGTTCTGTTCTTATAAAGGGTTAGCGTTTACCAAATTTCCAAAAACTGCAAGTCCAAATCTAAGTGCTTTATCACCAAATTCGTCCTCATCTACAGGTAGTAGCTTGAAATGTAAGGCTTCATTTACTGCCACCGGTGTTTACAAGCTTGATGAACAGAATGCTACTCATAGCGAGAACATTAATACAAACAATTCTCTACCTTTGAAAACCAACAGTGACAAGTGACACTGGTTATGCATGACCCAAAGAGTGAATCACAGCTTCGCTCCAGTGGAATGATTCATAGCTCAGAAAGCATTACTTGTCCCCGTGGGGCTTACATTTTATAAATGGAGCCCAGGGAATACAGTAAGACTGAAGTCAATCTGTCATCCAATCTGGCCTGCTTAGATGAGCCTCAAGCCTTTGAACCTTCACACACAGCTATAAAATAATCCTTACCAAAGCCTCTAGTCATGTCTCTCAGCATAACTTGGTGGTGTTGGATGGTTCACAGTACATTAGATAATGGACATAAAAAATTATGGCGCTGACTCTGGCGCCTAAAGCATATTTACATATGTATACTGTGGTTTCTATTCATGTCTATGGAATGTGTTTATGAGAACAGTTCATAATAAACATGGCTTTTGATGTCAACAAATGATATAAACAGTCGATAATCTGCCCCACACATGTCTCCCACAGTAATACTGTACATTATGAGCCTCAGGAGCGACTTCTGTGGTATCAGCTATCAGTTTCTCCGAAAGATGAAGAAGTATTTGTGATTATCATACCGGGTCAGAGGCAGTCTGCCAGGCTATGGCTCACCTTCAGCCAGCCAGGCTCTTTAACAGCGAACCAGCACAGAGGAGACTTTGTCTTTCACCAGCTATGCTGTTTTCCACCTTTACCAATTAACTCAGTCAGATTTTCATTGCTGCCAGTGCCTTATGAGAGCCATATATAACTGTTGTTCAAACGCCATTAAACAGTGAAGTAAACATTGGCCTGCAGGCTCTGCCATAGCTCACACCCCTTCATTTTAAATCGGGTATGTGGAGCATTAATTTAGTGGCAGTGTAGGTGCTTATTGTACAAACCAAACAGGGGCACTGTAGTGACCCAGTTTCTGGTCAGGACCGCAGGACCGACTGTTTGCTTATGACTGAATCTAGATCAATACATGGGTATTAGTTATCAACGTGATGTTTCTTGAGTTTTTACTTTCTTACTACTATGTTTTAAGTTATATGAATATGTTATTTCTCCATATCATGACAAGAGAAGCAATAATCAGCTAATCTGCTTCAATAGGACTGGATGTGCTGACTGACTGTCACAGTGGCCACATAGGTAAACATCTAAGAATAAGCATAAACTTTATTGCCAAGTATTTCAAAAAATACAAAGAATTTTACTCCAGCCCAATGGCCCCCAGTGTGCACAACATAAAAACAAAATAAATAAATACAAAATATATACAAGTTAAAAAGCAGCATAGACTAGCTGTTCATCAGTATAATAGCCTGGGGGAAGAAACTTTCTCTGTGTCTGGTTGTCTTGGTGCACAGTGACCTGTAGCGCCGTCCAGAGGGGAGGAGTTCAGAGAGTATGTATCCAGGGTGTGAGGGGTCTGCAGTGATCCTCTCTGCCCTCCTTTTGACCCGTAAGGTGTACAAGTCCTCTGGAAGGCAGGCTGGCACCGATGATTTTCTCTGCCATTCTGACTGCTCGCTGGAGTCTGTTCCTGTCCTATTTGGTTGCTGAGCCAAACCAGACAGTGATGGAAGTACAGAAAACAGACTCGATGATTCCACTCTAGAACTGTATCAGCAGCTTCCTGAGGCAGGTCGAACTTCCTGAGCTGGCGCAGGAAGTACATCCTCTGCTGCGCCTTTTTAATGATGATGCTGATGTTGGTTATTCACTTCAAGTCCCGAGAGACTGTGGAGCCCAGGAACTTTTAGGACTCCACGACTGAAACAGAGCTGCTGAGTATAGTAAGTGGAGATAGGGTGGGGGAGTTCCTCCTAAAATCCATTATCACCTCCACTGTGTTCCGCGAGTTCAGCTCCAGGTTCTTACAACCACACCACAGGGCCAGCTGTTCACGCTCCTGTCTGTAGGCTGACTCGTCACCGTCTTGAATGGGGCCAATGACCGCTGTGTCATCTGCAAACTTCAGGATTTTTACAGAAGGGTCTCCAGAGGTGCAGTCATTGGTATAGAGGGAGAACAACAGCGGGGAGAGCACACATCCCTGGGGGGCGCCTGTGCTGATTGTCCGTGTGCTGGATGTGGTTTTCCCCAGCCTCACCTGCTGCTTCCTGTCCGTCAGAAATCCGATAATCCACCGACAGGTGGGGGCAGGCACAGTGAGCTGGGTTAGTTTGGAGTAGAGGATGTCCGGGATGATGGTGTTAAATGCTGAACTGAAGTCGACAAATAAGATCCGAGCATAGGTCCCTGGTGAGTCAAGGTGTTGAAGGGTGTAATGCAGTGCCATATTGACTGCATCATCCGCTGACCTATCTGTCCTGTAAGCAAACTGCAGAGAATCCAGCCCATTCAGGTGGGCCAATACCAGTCTCTCAAAACACTTCATGACTACAGATGTCAGGGCGACAGGTCTGTAGTCATTTAGCTCCCTGATGGGAACTGGGATGATGGTGGAGTGTTTAAAACAGGAGGGAACCACACAAAGCTCCAATGATCTATTGAAGATTTGCAAGAAGATGGGAGCCAACTGTTCAGCACAGACTTTCAGACAGGAGGGGGTCACACTGTCTGGACCTTACTGATCTTCTGTTTCCTAAAAAGGCAACACACGTCTCTTTCACAGATCCTCAGAGGTGGTGGGCTGATGGGGGGAGAGGTGGGAGAGGTAGTCCTAGAGGAAGCGACTACTGGTTGTGGGTCCGAGATGAATGGAGAGAGGGGTGAGGAGTTCTGCCTTTCAAACCTACCATAATGATGGCTCTCCACAGCAGGGTGGGGTGATCTCCTGTACCCGGTGATGTTCCTTAGGCTCCTCCACACTGACGATGGTTCGTTGGCCTGACACTGATTTTTCAGCCATTCTGAGTAGCTCCTCTTTGCTACTCTGTTCTTCTTTGTCAGTGTGTTTTTAGCCTGGTTATACAGGGTCCTGTCCACACTCCTGTAGGCCTCCTCTTTGCACATACAATAACAATAAACCTTGGTTCACAGTGAAGTTCAAACAGCTTTGTCATGCCAGAGAGTCTTAATGGGCACACACATGTCCTGACAAAAACTGATACATGATGTCACCGTATCAGTATACGCGTCCAAGTCTGTAGCTGCAGCCTCAAAGACACCTCAGTCTGTATAATCAAAGCAGGCCTGTAGCTTAGACTTTGCCTCTTCAGTCCATCTTTTAATTTTTTTGACACCAGTCTTTGCAGCTTTAAGTTTCTGCCTATAAGTGGGGATGAGGTGGATCATGCAGTGGTCTGAAGGCCCAAGAGCTGCACGGGGAACAGAGCGATAGGCATCCTTGATTACTGTGTAACAATGGTCCAGCGTGGTTTTGTCCCTGGTAGGACAACAAACATGTTGTCTGTATTTCGTGAGTAAGGTTTGCTCTGTTAAAATCCGCCAAAATAATAAGCAGGGAGTCTGGGTGTTTCTCTTCCATACTTATTATCTGGTTGGCTAGGAGCTGCAGTGCATTTCTAACAGGCTAATTTTGTTTTCAACATTACTATATCTTGATTGTTCCACAGAAGTGAATGGTATCACATTTTCCAATTCACTTCAAACCACTGAACAGAGCACAGACCGCAACAGTAATTAAAAGAACTCTCTTGCAAAAATTCTTTCTAGGAAACCTCTTTAGAGATTATTTGGAAATAAATAGGACTTTCCAGACCTGTAAAGTAAAGCATTACTGAAAGAACAGGCTTTTGTGCCCTCCTACATCAAGTAAATAGTATATTTGAGTGGTCAAGACCATCATGCCAACTGATACTATAATGATATTGAGGGGGTTCTGCATTTTACAGTCCTGCACAGCTTTCTGTTTTGTGCCTTCAACCGAAAGAAAAATCACAAATGAGTTATGACATTCAGAGATCAGCACAGTGTACTGCTTCAACCGAAAGAAAAATCACAAATGAGATCAGCACAGTGTACTGTGCACTGTGCATGTGTGTGTACCAACCTTGCTGTTGATGGTTTCCATATTATACACCATAGTAAATATGGCAGTTGATATGCGACTAGGAAGGGAGAGAACTATGTTATCCATTCCAGCCGGGCCATCAACGCTGCCAGCAACCTCAATCATTGTTTCTAAAAAGACAGGAGCTACAATTAGCATACAAAAGTGTGGAATGCTTCATATGTAGTACACTGATAGAACTGTTCAGTTGGATTCACTGCACAAAGTAATATTATATGTCAGGTAAACCTCTGAGCAAACATATGGCTGAACTGGATACATGTGTGAATCTGTGTGTGCTCCGCTCCCCACCTGCCAGATGTCTCCACTCAGTGTTGAGGTCAGCCTGGTTGGCCAGACAGCCCTTCATGACATTGCGGCAGTAGTTGGCGCAAGGTCTGGCGCTGGGCATGCCGCGGCAGTGGGGACAATAAGTCATCTTCATCATGGCCCGCATGCACTCCGGGCTTAGCTGCACCTGGGTTAGAGCATGGATAAAAATAAACACACCCCACCTGGATGAAAAATGACTGTTTTGTCAAGCACGTATGACCTAATAGTCTAAAAGCCAAAACTGATAGTAGCAGTTGATCAAACTGCACATTTTACCACTTTAACTGTTCAAAGACCTGTTGGTGCTGTGTATTAGAATTAAATATTTGTTATACAAAAGGCTGAATAAGATGTGAAGATGTAAATTTCTTTTGCATGACAATGACAGTTGCAGAACCGTAGGAGGTCACCTCCCATGGTGACCTTTTTTTTAGTTTTGCTCCAGACTTTCATTCAGTACAGTTTCCTTGGAAACCACTTTGGGAGAATTCACTTTTTGTTTCACATTTGATGAAAAGACCTTGACATTCATACACATATTCTGAGTCCCTCACTCTATCCTTCCTGGCTCTTCCATTTCTCCCTCTATCCCACAAGTCTGTTCCCCCAGGAAAAGGCCTTTGTGTGTAAAAACTGAAACTGGGTTAATACCAGTAAGCTCTGTTCACAAGAGAGTACAGCTATGCATACAAAACCTCAGGAAGTGTGTGTGTGTGTGTGTGTGAGAGAGAGAGAGAGACATAGGAAGAGACAGAGTGAGCCTAGCTATGCATACAAAGCTCCTCTAAGCTAACATTTGGGCCAGTCTGATGCTTTTCCTGGAAACTGCTCTTCCAACAGCAAAGTAGAAACAGGGCAACAATAGGAACAGTAAAATAAATCACAGAAAATTTAACCAATCAACAAACCTGTCAGCACTTTAGTATAGCTTCAAGTCTATCCATTATCTATACAGCTTATTCCTGAAAAGGATTGCAGGGGGCTGGAGCCTCTCCCAGCTGTCACTGGGTGAGAGGCGGGGTACGCCTTGGACAGGTTGCTAGTCTATCACAGGGCTGACACTTAGACAAACAACCACACACGCTCACACTCACTCCTACAGGCAATTTAGAGTTTCCAGTAAACCCAAACTGCATGTCTTTGGACTGTGGGAGGAAGCCAGAGTACCCGGAGAGAACCCGGGGAGGCACAGGGAGAACAGACAAGCTCCACACATAAAGGCCCCAGGTTTGAACCCAGAACCTTTTTACTGTGAGGCAACATCGCTAACCACTGCTGCACTATGTCACCAGCTTCAAGTCTAATTCACATAAAAATGCTAATTTTCAGCCTAAAACTGATTTCTCTTGACCACAGACAGTCACCTTGTCCCCTCATAAGTGTAATCCTCACGGTCTCTGTAGTGCTTGTCCTTCATGGTGTAATCCTTGTGTGCATCTTAAAATACAGGTTTTAAAATGTCATAAAACCTTTAAATTGAATTTAATCATATTTGATCCACATAATGCCAAAAGTAATTTATTTTAACATCCTTACTTGAAAATGTAAATTATATTTTAAACCACATTAAAAAATGCATAAAAAGCCTAAATTAGTAAATGTATCTCTGGTATTTAAAAGAAATCTGCTGAATTTGGTAATTATTTCCATGTGCAAAGTAAAATAAGTGACACAGAACAGCAGTAACCACATTCCCAGGCTATGTCATATGAGTCAGATCCTTACCCCTGTCCTCTTTTGCTTCCCCCCTCCCATGTTTACCCTACCACTCATTAGCCTGGGATGAGTCAGAAAAATGCTTTTTGGTGAGTGGGAAGAGTGAGGGAAGGGAGTGTACAGGGATGAGTGGAGACAATGACTGAAAATGAGAGAGCGAGTGGGAAAACAGTTGCAAGATTCACCAAGGGGTATAGGCATGAGAGTAAAAAAAGCCCAGGACAATGCTAATGAAATACAGTCCTATCATTCATGCAGTATTAGTGCTGGGAATCCCAGCGCAGGCACAACTGGCATGAAACAGTGTGTAACTGCTAATTGGAGGTGTTGACAACTTCCTCAGTAACCTAGGAGCTGTGGTGCACCAGGAACTATGAAGGAGGGGCTGTCAGGAGTGTCACTGACCTTTGGATGCAAGTACTGAGGATTATTTTCATTATGGATCAAGCTGATGATTTTATTTTTCTGAAACTTAAAATAAATTAACAAATAAAAGTCAGAAAATTGTGAAAAATCTAAATTACAGAGTGCACTAGGAGACGTCTTGAAATTGTGTAACCAAATGCCTAAAACCAAAAGAAAATCATTTGACATAGATATAAAAAATAGGAGAAAAGGAGTGAACCTTCATATTTAGGTCACTGTAACCAGCAGATGTTTGGCAGTGTTACTTCATAAATGACTTAATTAATGGTCAATCGCTCACCAAAACTGACAATGACTGAACGGCTGATTCTCGCTCACCAAAACTGACAATGACTGAATGGCTGATTCAACACTTACAGAAACACAGTGCAACCACACACAGACACGCATGTATGCATGCACGCACACATGTGTGTGCACATACACTACACTCACACATCATTTCAAAACAGTCCTATCAAGAGATAAGTGCCTTAGATTTTGTTACTTATTTATCTCCTTTATATTTCATTTGTATTTTGTAGCATTCATGTGGACGGCAAAGTAAGAATTTCATTGTAGAGGGAAACACGTTTCCTAACTGTGCATATGACAAATAAACACTTTGACTTTGACTTAGATAGAGGAGAAAGTTTGAAAGTCTGACATACTCTTTTTAACACATGATTGTGTTCCACTTTAAATACCCTGACTCCTACTCGTCCTTACTTAACCTACACCACATGTTCACTATACCTGTCAGTACTTTCTATATCGCCAGTGGGAATCTATCCTGAGACTCTTGTGTGTCTCTCTCTCCCTTTCTCTGCTTGTCTCTTCCTGTAATTAGTAAGGATATATGAGCAACCTCTCCCTCTTGTGTTATAGAGCAAACTGATCCCGACTCCTTGCCTCCAGAGTGAGCTATGTGGCGCGTGGCCTATTTCCTCCACTCCCCTACCCAAGGGAATAAACCAGTCCAGAAAAAGTTAAGGACACAGCAACTGGTGCAGCCCAGAGCAAAGCAAGAGAGGAATTAATACTGTACACAAAGAAAAATTGCATCTTACTGCTGATAGCTCTTTTTCTGTCTTACAAACAACATCCCCCAAATTATTCAGTTTTAACACACTCGGTCACTGTCTGCTCTGCTTTGCTCCATTCCTGC